TTTTTGTAACTCTTATCAGTGTATTTTTGTACACATATGCATATTTATTTTCCCATAGTTGCCCAGCAACTGATTAATGAGAGCAATTTCATTTGATCGGTTTAATTGTGATTACAATAATCAACTTATATTTAATCACAAGGGCGTAAGTACACTCCCATTAAATATACATATACCCATGTTTTGAATCACGTTTTACGAAACAAAAAACAAAAAAAAGATTTATATAAATGTACTATGCAAATGTGTTAAGCTTTGATTAATATTTGAATTAAATAATTACGATAAAAGGGAGAATTAAGTTATGAAACAAATAAATATACTTTTTTCTCGCGTTTCTTTTTTATATAATTTTTTTAACTTTGATAAGAATAGCTTGCGCTTTGTATTTTTATTTTCATATTTTTTTTTTATGATTTTTTCGTTTATATGTATTCTTTCTCTGACCCATCTATGACCCGGTCAAGGTTCTTGCCATATATAAACACATGCAATTGACACACCCTTTAGCATAATCGATCTGGAAAAAAACGCAGTGACGTAACTAGTGTTGTAGCAAACAGGCCCCTGCATTATTATCTATATGTAAGTCTGCCCGTTTGTCTGTATGTTTGAATGCATGCGTGAAATTTGCATGCTTTACTTAAATCGGCTTGTGTAATTTTAGATTGTTAAATTATTCATACAGGTTGTGCATGTTGCGATTAACGCTGAATTAGCTGGTATATTTTCTTGAAACAAAAAGTTATTGAAAATGTTTGAAAAGGTTGCATTTGGAAAGTGAGCAAAAATTGCAAAAGTCGCCAGCATAAAAATTTCTTCTTTGTATTGTGTTCATGCGTTGTATGGAAGAAAATGCGCAATGTCCTCGAAAAAATGCCCTGAAATCAACAGTTACAAAACTGCATAATGAAAATTTTTTTAAGAAATCGAATCGAAAAACTGAAAATTTCGATGAAAATTTCTTGCAGACCTTTTTAATACTCGCTTTCTCATTGCGTTAATTATGTAAATATTAAGTATAACTATTACACCATAAATTATACTATTATTAACACTTGCGAAACAAACAATTACACACAAAAAAATGCAGATCTCAAAGTCCAAGACAATTACGAGTAATAAACCTTCAATTGTGAATCACAAAACTTGTAAATGGTCGCCATTATAGCGGGGATTAGGCGAGTTACGAAAATTGCAGGTGGCATAGCACCAAATTATGCTAACAGCTAAAATTAATTTATTACTAAGAGCAGATAATCGATTTTTTTGCCTACCATAATTAAATACTTCCCTTATCTCAATACCAATGCTGACTAAGTGAGCTTTAAATCGATTACTTGCGAGGCGGATTACTAATAATATTTCGCATTAATAAACAGATTAAATGAGGCAATTGGAGTTATAAATAATATGTGTGATTAACGAATTGTGGGTGACAAATATTTAATTTAATATTTCTTCGTGATTTGTATTGTTGTTTTTTTTTTTGATAAATAATCTACAATTATGCGCCATATCAATGCCAATTCTGCACTGCTTAGCGCAATTACAATATGGCATTGATTTAACGTTGACTAAACCGTTAAAAACGATTAATGCTATTTGTTTTGATATATGTATTTCCGCATAGGTAGGCCGTAAACAGGACAAAACATCGGGCAATATGTATTTGTATGCAGATACTTAGGTTTTTATATATTTATGTATGCATATACGTGCATACATATACATACATATATTTCCCTTTGTGCGCGATAACTGCTTTTTTGTGATTTATGGCAATTAAATGGTTGGTAATTGACTTTTCTTATAACAGCGTTAAAGAAAAAACTTTGCGATAAATACGTTTATATAATTAACAAAGAGTACAAAGTCGAAATGGTTATCAACTAACGGCTATACAAAAAAAGCAAAGCAGCAGGTGTAAACAAAGCAATTTATCGCTGTTAATGCAAGGCAAATAAGTAGGTATTTCTATCTATACATACATACATATGTACATACATATTTATGTACATAGGTAGATTATGTCGACAGACATCGTGCTTATCAATACTTTCTACACCTACAAAATTTCTTAATAACCAAAGCGTTGATAACGAGCAATGTGCTATACGTAGAAAAAACGATTGTAAAAATATCGCTAACGAGTAAACAAAGTCAATAAATTCAGTTCATTATGAAATTAACAGTAATGGTATAAAGCTAGCTGCTGCTATCAGTAATTACCAAAAAATAATAATAGATATGTATAAAAAAAATAATAATAATGATGATCATTAAGGTTGAAATGAGTTTAAGTGTTCTTAAGTGAACCTTGCGCTAAATTGAAAAATTCGATGCTTAGTGCGTAGAAAAGTGAAATGACATTGTACAGTTGAATGTCCGTTAAAAAGGGTGTGCGTTAATCTCTTAGTCGATATGCATACATTAACATATTAAATACATCCATATGTATGTACATGTAAAATCGCAATAAAGGAAATAACTTTTTTTTGCGTTCATTAAACTCATAACAGCACAAAGTACTGTGCGATGATTACTTAAACAAATATGACAGTTTTTTAACTTTTTCCTTTCTTTATTTAAACATTAAATATATGTACATACTCATATTGGTAAGGCGATTATCATTGCAAATACTTACTACATATTTAGATATTTGTGTACATATTCTGCGCAGTTTCTAAAATTGAAGTATCTATTCTCTATATACTTATGTATGTAAATATGTGTGGGCGTGCACGTACTCCAAGTAAAGGCCTACTTAAATACATTACTTGAGGTTTATTTGTCAGTTGCACTCCAAATAGTTTTCCAGTTGCTGATAAGCACTGTGCTCTTACTTAGGCGATGAAGTCATTTCGGCTGCAAAGACTACGCACAGATTACCTTGTGGTTAGCGCAAAATGTGCTAGGTGTTAAATTCTATGCCACTCGTATCAGTAAAATTTTAATTACTTTTGAAATTTGAAAAAAAAACGTTGGGTACAAAAGTTTTCGAGATAATGAAATTAAAAACGAATATAACGAGAAAAAACTCAGCGACCCAGTTTTTTATATACTAGCAAAAATATAACAAAAAAAGATCGATAAAAGATATCGCATAAAATTATCGATTAAAGTCATATCGAAATTTTATTTTACCTTTGAAATTTTAATTAAAATTATATACAGCTATATTTTAATACAAAATTTAGTGTAAAAAATTTTTAAATGTCAAAAAACTTTGACTTTTTTTCAAATTTTTTGGTCTCTAAATTTCAAATATTGTTAATTCTTTTCATAAAAATTTTATATTTTGAAATGTTAATATTTACTTTATTTTTATTTTTTAGTAACCTTTTTTCTTTATTTTTATGCACATTTGTACATATATATGTTTGTATAAAAATTAATTAATTAATTGAAAAAAAAAACAATAAAAATATAAACATTTATTTATTTAAATTTTTATGCATAATTGTATAAAAAAAACCTATGTACTACAGGTTCACACTGGACGTGCTCCATTTTTTTTTATAATTTTAAGTGTTACAAGAAGAGTCCTTCAGAAAAGTATATGTATGTATGTATGTATGTATGCATACTAGATACTATTTTATTGCAAATTTTGTTACGTCCTATATTTAGACATACATAATTATTAAAACATACATATTAAAATAAAATTTTCTAAACACCGCGTACATCTTTTTGGCGGTTAGGGCACGATATTATGCTTCATATTGGGCTAGAATTTCTTGCTAAAATCTTGGCTAGTTGTCTGTCTTGACCGCGTGAGAAGCGAGTAAGCATCTCTATTTTTATTTTTTATTTTTTTATTTTTATTTATTTTTTGTTATAAGTATTAGTCATGTACACAGTAGGCACAAGTTTCTGCTTTAATTATATCAGTACGGGTACTAAGCTGAACTTATGTATATCAATTTATTTTAAATTCAATTTATTTGCCGGGTATGTGTACATAAAAAGAGGCACATTTTTACATAACAAATACGCTTTTAAATGCATACATATGTATTAGATATTTACAGTTACCGTGCGTTCGAAAACATTTCCTACATACATACATATATGCACTGCTCGACTTTAACTTAGCACCCTTAGAATAAACAACATAAAAAAGTCGAACAAAAATTGATAAGACCAAACAACTAAATAATCAACAAGTAGCTGTGATTTTTTTATTTGTTTACAAGCTTATAAACTTACATTCCTACATAAGAATGTTTTTATATTACATACATACATACATACATATGTCCATACTGCTCACTAAACACATTTTATTGCTGTGTTTTCGAAAACACCAAAATGAACTTTAAACAGGTGTAGTGGACAATGAATGACAAGTTTGCCCTTTGGACATACATATGTATGTACATATGTACGAGTAAGAAAGCAAGAACCAACAAAACTAACAACCAGAATACGCGAAGTTAGTGCAATATCGATGCAGCAAAGTATCAACAACAACAACATCAACAACTGCAGCAGCATTAATGGCAACAGCAAAGCACAGAGTACTAAGTAGGAAGAAGCGGCTTTCCTGCGTTAAATCAATGACTTATTGCTTATGAATAAGTGCATATGTATATATAGAAATATGTATGTAAATGCCTTTATATCTATACATACTATGTATGCGCTTTATTCACTTCTTGCTTTATTCTTTACTGCGGTTGCCACTGAATGACGAATATGCGGCAAAGTGTTTTGTTGCGTAGGTCATTGCGAAAACCGATATGTATGCGGTGGGTGCGGTGCATGTAGCTGCGATGCGTTGCGGTGCAACACAATACACAGCGGCAGATAGTGAAGGAACAGAAAAAAAATATGAAGAAAATGTATGTAGGTATGTATATAGTATGAATAAAAAACAAAAGTAAAAAATTAGTTTGAGCTGACCAACTGAATGAATGAGTATGGGGAAGGTAAGTTATGAAGGTAAAAAAAAAAAACAAAAAAAAAATCTTTACAACACAAAAACGCACCTTTTCGAGGCACTCCTGTCCGATTGCCTTCGTATCCCATTTGACCGCTAATTGTGTGCCGTTCGGTAGATTGACAATGCACCACATTTTGACTAAATTCGCCGCCTTTGCGTTGCAATAGCTGTGGTAGATGGAGTTGCAGCAGCCGACGCCAGCCTTTCACTTTGTTATGGCTAACTTTTTTGCTTTTATTTTTAATTATTTTATAGTTTCTTGTTTCGTTTTCACGAATTGTGACACTTTTTGGCGTATCCTTTTGGTGTTTTTTTTTTTGCTTGCTCGCGCTGTTCACGTGCAATTTACGTGAATTCTACGCGTCTTGCAAACACTTATACGGATATGAAAAACTGGATTTTAAGTAGCGTTTTGTGCATGTACATACGTATGTTTATACGTAGGTATTTTTTATGTACGAGTAGCTGCGCGCACAAAAGGCAGACCTGTTTTTTTTTTTTTATTGTCTTTTTTCTTCACGGCTGAAATATGCGAATACTTCGTATTTATTTAGACTCGTTGGGTTCTACATAAAATGTATAAATATTCGAAAAATGTATTTGAGTTCAATAGCTTTTTAATTTTTTTAGAATTCACGCCTATATTTCTTCAACTTTTATTTACAGCGATTTCTGTACTTTTTTGTAACACTTTAAATTTTTGTTTTAGCATTCAAAATGCCTTTAATTTCATGTACATATGCTTCTTTGTATGTGGGTTGGGTGGTAGTAGTATTTAGTACACCTGCGTTTTGCGAACGCCGCTCACACAACTGTATTGCTTGAAATTCGCGTAGCGATTGAACGTTTTCCGTTTGCAACAACCAACAAAACACCAACCAACCAACCAACCAACCATACAATACAATACAATACAGGCCTGCCGGGGCTGCTGTCTGTTGCCTCTCCGATAGAAAGTCACCGACGACGTTGAAACCGAAATGCAAAAAATACAACAAAAACAAAGTATAAAACAAATGAAATGACAAAAAACAGGAAAATACCGCATACAAACATGGAATTACGAGTTGTATTAACCAAGCACATACTCATACATACATACATACATATTAGGGTGCCCATCGAAAAAGTTTTTTTTTTTCAAGACCCTACCCCATAATTTCCTTCCTTTTTATGAGAAATATTATATTATTATTTTTATAGATTTTTTTTTAAATCATTTAGAGGTCGCGACGTGTCATTTTAGGTCAGAAAGTACGGTTTTGTAGATTTATCAGTTTTTGAATGACTAGTTTTCATTCAATTTGAAACGATCGAACATATTGTGAGAATAGAATTTATATTTATAGGCCTTTAAAAAAGAGCGATTGTATATACCAATTTTGAATAAATATTAATGAATCCCTTAGCCGCATATTTCCAGGCTGTATTTAAGAAAAGTCGCCTAACTTTGACAATTTTTATGCGATTGCAATAAGTGTGGTATAAATTTATTTGAAAATAGATTTAATTTTTTAAATTGTGGAAATAAGTGATGGTCAAAACATAAAAAAAAACTGTTTTTTTTTTTTTAATTTGCCCTATGAAAAATCCCGACAGTCCAAGACTGACAATTATGATACATCATTTTAAAGGCCTATAAATCCTCTTATCACAACATGTTCGACCTTTAAAATTGAATGCAAACTAGTCGTTCAAAAACTGATAAATCTACAAATCCGTACTTTATGGCCTAAAAAGACACGTCGCGACCTCTAAATGATTTAAAAAAAATCTATAAAAATAGGCAATAATATTTTTCATAAAAAGGAAGTAAATTAGGGGGTAGGGTCTTGAATAAAAAAAAAAAATGTTTTCGATGGCCACCCTAATGCATATACGGCAGGCACAAAATAGGCAAAGCTGAGCGCCAAACAATGGAGCATATGCCGCCAACATTACCGTAATGCTTTGGGGAGAAAAGCGCTGGCCAATGCGATAAGTGAGCTGAGCACTGCAGCTATATCTCTGAGATACACGCACACACACCCACCGTGCAAGGTGCTCCGGGGCAGTGCGCTGGGTCTGAAGCTCTTCTTTCAATACTTTGTCTGTGTTCTGAAACATTTAAGAGCACGCTGTAATTGTTTATTTAAGAGCAACTTGGTTGCGGACGTCCCACTGCGATCCATCTGATCCAAAAACAGCTGTTTTGCAACTTAACATTTTTGTAGTCGCTACGGGGATTGCTCGATAAATGCTGCATATTTATGCTCGTTGCTATTTTTCGCGCCTTTTTTTATGTGAAATGCATATCTATCTAAATGTATTAACAAAAACGCAATAATGCTAACAACAGCGATAACGAAAATTATAGCGATAAAATATCGACAACATCGACAACAAATAACGACTCCGATAACGAAAGACATAATTATATCGATAACAATAGCAATAATATCGGTCGAAATATTGATTTCGATAACTATATGTATAAGTTTATATGTATAAGTTTAAATATGCCATAACTTTGTTTTTTAATTTTATTGGAAAACGCTCATTAATAATACGCTCATAACGATAACACTATCGACAGCTTTAGCGATATCGATAAAGAAAATGATAACGATAACAAAACAAGTAATGTTCATGCTTCTTTATTGTGCTTCACGACCAGCAATAATCAGTTTAGAAATGAGGAATTAGTGCATAAAAAATTAGCGTACATTCGAAATTTATTCAAATTATAATCTACCAAGTTTTTCAGAAAAATCAGAAAAATAAGCAAACCAAAGATCCCCTGGCTCCCGATTTGTGGTTACGTCATACTTGAATATCCCCATTGCAGTCAAAAAATGTATTTATCGATATCGTTATCGACGTACACGTGGTTTTGACACATCGGTATCGATGTAGATATCGATATATTTGTCGATATAAGTGTATTTAACTGATATCATGTAATTTTTTGTCTTTTATTTTAGTTTTTTTCGAGCACATTTCATTTTGGGAGTTTTGATCGAAAACTGAAGGTGAACAGACGCTACAGAACTGAATACGTTTAGTTTTCAGTTTTATATTTTTAATTATTTAATGAATAGCAGGAACCGAAAATAACCGTTTAATATCAAGATTTTTGTTTTTTCGACAAACTTTAAACGTTATTTTGTGATTATTCTCTGATTTTTTTCGATCAAAATGTAATCCTTATTTTGGATTTTTTTACCCACTTCAAAAAGATGAGGAGGTTATCATTTCGTCGGAATATTTTTTTTTTTTGTATATATGTAATAACTTGGGTTTAGGTCCGATCATGAAGAAATTAACGGTACTCCTAAATTTTTAAATGAGAATTGAAGTCTTTATTATTTTTCGATCATTTTTAGCCATTAAAATCTAAGAAATTAAATCTGATAATAACGGTTACAATATGATCGAGCGATCATATTAGTAGCTTAATAGCTGGGGTTTTAAAATATCTCGACACCTGCGCCTCCTAGCGGATTAATTCATCTTTCAAATTGCATTACCATCAGGTTGTATGCAAAGTTTGAAGTTTCAAGTCTCTAGTTATCTGGAAATTGGTTAAAAGTTGATTGCAAGATTTGATTACACAAAGGTGAAACCTAATAAAAGCTTGAAAATTTAAATTTGTTGCCTTTTAAAGTAAAAATTGTGTTATAGTATAACAATTTCACTTTGAAGGAAAATTTAGGTTTTTATACTTATTGGGCCATCCTCGTACTTGAATAACAAATGATGTACGATATGTTGAAGAGGCAATTTACGTTTGAAGTGATTGGTAAAATGTCACGTACCACATGTTAGTACTTTTAAACTTGTAAATAAGTATATGTATATTAGTGCGGCAAGCGTCGATGCAACAGAATCGTAAAAAAACGTCATCTGCCACGTTTCTGTGTAAATGAAATGACTGTAATTATTTATCTACTTCTCCACTCACAGTGACTCATAAAAATGAACATATGTATGTTCATATTTAAGGTTTCGGGAGAAAAAATTATTTTAACAGTTGCAGAAAAATTTATAAAGAAATGAAAATACATATATACACTGTCGGAAAAAAGTATTGGCAGTTTCTATTCTAATATTTTTCCGCTATTTTATTATAAACATATGGTTCATTCTACAACAAAAAATCATAAAAATATATTTTCTAAACTTTGTGCAAAACTCGCGAAAATTCAATAAGTTTTCAATTTTTTAATCAGGTTTTTTCGAATTTTCTTGGGTATGCAGTTTTGTAGCCCATTAAATTCTAGTATAAAAAATGCAAGTACGTAGTTAAAAATCGTATTAATTTTTCAGATTTTTTTTAAAGGTGTTTTGCATTTTTTCCAAATAAAGTATTTCCGATTTTTTTTTTTTGATAAGGAAGAGACAGCGTGAAAAAATTGCCAAAAATCAACGGCAATTCGTAGCTACTCAGAACTTCTACTTTATTACAATAAAGTTGATTGGGCTGCAAATCTGCATACTCAAAAAAATTCTAAAAAATCTGATTAAAAAATTTAAAATTTGCTTGAAAATTTTATGAATTTTCGCAAATTTGGCACAAAGTTTAGAAATCATATTTTTGTTTTTGTTTTTTTGTTGTAGAATGAACCATATTTTTATAAAAAATTGTCGGAAAAATATTACAATAAAAATTTGTGCATATATTGTAAAAAAGCAGCTGTGCCAATACTTGTTGCCGGCAGTGTAAGTACATTGGGTAATACATTTTTGTGTTATAACATTATGCATATTCCAGCGTTAATGCGAAATGCAATTGCAACCAAGTGCAAGTATCAAATTGCAAAATTTTATCAACAACACAGTCGAAAATCTTGCAGCAGTCATTGCATTTAACTCTATACGAACCATAAGCAAACGCAATGACTAAAGCGTGATTTTCGGATGTGTTGTTGTTGATAAAAGTTTGCAATTTCACATTTTGCATCGTTGCAATTGCATTTCGCATTAACGCCTGAATACCCCTATTGGCACTGAGATGCTGAGCTCACTTAATGTGCGTGATCAACTTGTTGGTAAAAGAAATAGTATTTAAAACAAGTAATTTTTAGCAAAAAAAAAACCGACTTCAACTCTCATATAAAAAAAAAATATATATATATATATCTCATGGTCCGCTGATCGGATCTTAACCAGATTAGTATGGGACCACCTCTGAGACACTACCTTTCCGATGCAAAAAGAATTATCGAAATCGGTTGACGTGGTCCAAAGTTATGCGGTAACATACATAAAAAAAAAAAAATAAAAAAATATTCCGACGAACTGATAACCTCCTCCTTTTTTGGAAGTCGGTTAAAAATAGTGATTGGTTTGGAATTAGAGGGCTGATGAGTTAGAAAGATGCAAAATTGTATGAATTGTAATGCCTGATTTCCTCCACTGGGCACTAAATGACATCAATTTTTTCTTTTGCAAAAATTGGCATTAAGTTGTTTTCCTTTAAAAAATGCCAGTTTAAATGGTGACAATTTTTGGTCATTTCAATGCCTAGACACTACTTCGTTTCAATTTAGTTAACCATATATTGTGTTTTTTTATTTGTTATTTAAAATATTATGAATCACTGTAATAAATGGCACTTACATACCTCCATCTCCTTAAATTTACGCGCCGTTGTATGTATGTATGTCTACAGTTGCATGTGACAGCTCGCACGTTTTCCACATACGACCTTTAAACGTGTTGTTTTTTGCCATTATTAATGCTCTTGTTCTTTATGCTGCAACAAACAAATCCAATTAGTTGTGTAAATGCGCCGTTACGCTAAGTTTTTGTGATCTTATTAACATTACCTTTGTCTAATTTTTCAGTTCAATTGGTAATCAGGTGAATGCTGATTTTAACCCTATATTTAATTTTCACAAGTTGGTGACTTAAGGATGGCGAAATGGGGGGATAATAGACCCTGTCGGAAAAATCAACAAACAAAAATGGTTAACCTTTTTTTAACTTGTAAAATTATTTGTTTTTTTTATAACAATACTTTAGTTTCGAAAGTTATGCCAAATTTTCAGTTAGAAGATGCTATGGGAAAAAGAAATTAGTGACTGTTTTTTATTAATTTATTAAGTAATGGCACAAGTTAAGGCACATCAAACAGGTAGTAGCATTAGGGTAAAAACCACATTTGCGTGAATTTTGTTGTTTCTTCTGGTATCGAAGATGTCAAAAAAAAATAAATAAAAAATAAAAAATTGAAATTGGAAAAAACAAAAATTGTTGCAACTTTCTTTAAATTTATTTGCTTCTCGAAGCATTGATCCCTCCTATTCCAAGTAATCAGCGGTTGTGCTGCTGAGTTGGGCGAACTTTCCAAAAGCTGCTATTCAATCGCTTGTTTTGCATAGAAAAAGGTTTCACATGCAAATAGATTTTAGCAATTTATAATATATGTGATATTGTGTGCCACTAATGTTTATTTATTTATTTTTAGGAATTTTAAATTGAAATACAGTTCATTCTCCAACAAAACTCATATAAAGTTTAAAAGTTTTAACAAGACTACAAAAAAACGCAACACATTTTCAGAAACTCAGAGAATGCCCCTATTTTGTTTATCCCTTATATGGAAGCAAATGTGACAAAAAAAAATACTAAAAAATCAACGGTGACTTTTAACCACTTGATACTTGCACATTATGAGACTAAAATTGAACGGGCTATAAAATGGGCGAAAAACTTCCAACACTTCTGAGAAAAAAGTTTGAAATTTGGGTGAAAATTTATTACGTTTTATTGTGGTCTTTTAAAAAGTTTAAAACTTGGTTGTATATAAGCTTCGTTAAAGAGTGAATTAAACACAAGTGGCAAACAATATCACTTTGGAATAGGGGTGGTATAGATATGTCCAATACTGTATATTCTGTTAGCTTGAACTAAGTTTCATCTGACAAAGAAAAGTCAATCGTTGGTTGACCCTACAATCTTCTGGAAACTACAGTATTTCCCGATTAATTGAACCCCTAACGACCACTTAGTATCTAATAATATTAGCATTGACTACCAGCTTCTATTGTAGGAAACGGAAATGTTAAGTATGTATAGGAGATGGGCGCGGGACTAAACTCTCAATCAATTTTTAGGTACCGAACCCGCCCATTCCTATCACTTATTAAAATTTACATGGCTTTGAAACTAATTTTAGATAATATACTAATATACGTATGTATTAAGGTGGTCCAAAAAAAGTAAAGTCGGAATTTAAATGCCGCCACACCTTGGATTGTTCTATACCGAGAAATATACCCCCATTTTTTATTTTGAAATCAAAAAATATGCCCAAAGCTTCCCATGTAAATTATATGAAAAAAAACCAGCTTTTCGTAGAAATTATATAGAATTCTTGAAAATCCTTATTTTTCGATCGGAAAACTCTGGTTCTCTTCTGGAGACTTCCAATAATAATATCCAAATGTTTATTTAACCATTTTTTTATTACTAAAGATTTTTTATTAGTTCCTCCATTGCATTTTCTGGGAGTTTTGACGGACCTATAAAAAAAGTTATCATGAAAAAATGTTTAAATAAACAACTGGGTATTATTACAGGGAATCTCCTGAAGAGAAACAGAGTTTTCCGAACAACAATCCTAGTGGGTGGCGGCTTTAAAATTCCGACTTTACTTCTTTTTGGGCCCTCCCTATTTAATATGTATGCATATTTTCTCGAATTTCGGCATACTGAAAGATATGGCATCTTTAGGGCTAATTTCATATAACGTTTTTTAGGAAGATCTTCAGAAGTTGCGGATTTAGTCGGGAGTGGTGGGAAAGGCTTTGTTTCCCGTTCCGCACGCAACTTTTTAAAGAACTTCCTGTTACCGCCCGTCCCGAACATTTTGAAATTGCTACCGTGGGAATCGAAATCCCGCCCCATCTCTGGTATGTATACATGGAAAATAACTAACCTTGTTTAATTTTATTGGTACATACATATGTATGTATGTATCCACTGCATTCACTAAACCTGCCACCAGCTCAATTGCTCGCAGTTCCAGAGATTTGGGAAATGCAATTACTAGTTTAAGAGTAGCAGAAAATTCCCGCTCAAGCATGACCACCCTATGCGTAAGGATTACAAAATCAAAATTTGTTTTAAGGCAAAGTAAAACATTCCAACTTACCTTACGCAGTTGAGATTAGGTGGTGAAAATAATCTCTGTTACATAAATTGCGAGCCGGCTCTCGCTCTCTCTCTCTGTTCCTTTCCCCCCATAAAGCACAGCACACTCCCTGCACCCGCTCTAACTATTTGTATGATTGCCACTTTTCTCCTTATCCGTAATGTTCACTCTGAGCTGGCCAATACCATATCGTATAAGACCGTCTTTGCGCCGCAAAGCTGCTAAAGATTGTGCACCAACTGCGATCCACAAATCTTTGCCGTTACCTTTTTCACGCGGTCGACCACTAGCGATTGTCCAGTCGTCAGGCATAACATCAGCATTTTGTTTCTTAATTAGCGCTAAGACCGTGGCATCGTCTACTATGGGCGGTGGAATCCAAACGCGCACATTCGTACGCGCTGACATCTCTAACAAGGGTACAATTTCCAGATTTGCGTTAGGCCAAAGTTCACCTTGACTACGGATGAAGTTCGTTAGGAAGTGCAACGCCTCCTCATTGCCACAACCGATCACCTTCATGCCATTTTGCCATCTGACACCATCATACATGCCAATGTTGGAGTTGTTGGTGCGTTCCATTTCAACAAGGAGGCCTCGCATAATCTGCGCTTCTAGCAGCCACCAATTTTCCGTGGAAATCTTTCCCTCTGGATGATTGCGATCCATAATCATTACCTGAAGTTCAGGCGCAGTGTGAATGGCTGGCATTTTCTTTTTCCGCTTCGATTCGTGCGGCTGGTTGTCGTTTGAAGTTTTTCTTTTGGACATAACTTCTGTTGAAGCTGTTGCACTGGCGGCTGACGCAGCGCTCGATGTCGACGGCCTTTCATTGCCTATTCGCGGGAGCGGTGGCTGCACTGTTGCTGCCTTCTTGGAAATAGAAACAGGCTTGGGATTTCCTGCAACATTCTTATGCATATCTGCATTTTGGGCATTTTTGGGGTCCGCAGAAGGGGGTGGCACATCATTCGCAACTTCCAGTTCCTTCTCACTTTCATATCGCCGCACAATGTACGCATGCTTCTTTTGTAAAGCCTTTTCTTTTGCAGTCAGAGTGGTAGGATCGCGTTCCTTCAGTTTCGCTAGGTAGCGACGTGAGCTTTTATAACCCATCTTTCTTTTGCGTCTCAATTCACCAATGTCGACCGATTTTTTATCAACCATACACGAATCTGTGGGGTTTTGAATATCCTGCGCGGTCGATTCGTAACTCGTCGAATAATTTGCCGCAGTAGCTCGCCGTTCATACAAGCCTGAGGCAAACACTTGTTTGAACGGGACATCAGTAGCTAGTCTATCGTCAGAGCCTGTTGTCTTCACTTCAACGATAGGGTCTCCGGGGATTTTCGAACCCTCTTTTGCCGGATACTGAGGGCCGGACTGATTGTACATTTCAAAATTAAATTAAAAAAGGGTTTGCATTTTATACCTGCTGCCAGGTGTGAGGATGTACTGCCGCCCAATCTGGGACAGACGCAGACCAGAGAGCCGTCCCAATGGGGTACCGTTGCTTCTGGGTTTTTGAGGTGTTTAGCACTGCTGGTTCGGCTAGTTACAGATATTCATTTAGAGATCTACATATTTAAAGTCATCTTTATAAATCGATATGTAACCTTGTTGCAGTCTCGAAACCACCTGGCTTTGCTAGTTTTGGTCCGCCCCGGAGTAAATCCGGTACTTCATATATCTAAGAAGCAATTCCCCTATCCGCTACCTGGGGAGGCGCCCGATGGAAGACCAGCAAACTCCGCACGGGTTAAGATTTGCATAAAAGATTTGTGCGAAAGGTAAAATTACCCTAAAGTTGGCACAATGCCGAAACCGGTTCTGTCTCTAAATTGATAAAGGATGACTGTAATTCGTTCCAAAATACACACAACATTTTCGTTTGGTTAAATTTGCCGGTTTACTGTTTTACGTTTAACTTTTAAACCTTTAAAAAATATATGTAAACCATTCGCTACCAACAAATCAGCTTGCCATCTTACATTATTGCCCTCAACACAGACGGAGTTACATCGGAATATGACTCTCTGCGCACCCAATTACCCGCCGTAACTTCTACCTCCGTAAATTGCAGCGAAAGTTGTTCTAAATTCCACTATTGTCTCAAAAGAACTGCAGCTTTATCATTTTTTATGGGTATTCATAATGATGTAAATTACCTTTTATTAACCACATTGTAAATTAAAAGACAGTTCATTTTTATTGTTATTTTTCATAGCACTCATTTATTTCACTTTTTAAACAATTTTTCTTATAACAACGTTATAAAACAATATATTCATATTTTTTTCTTAAGTTGTAATTTAATTTTTAATTTTTACAAAAAAACCAAAAAAATGTGGCGAGTTTGCTAAAATACAGCAAAGGCTCCTTTATAAGTATTCACCTTTTATATGGCACCTTATAATTTTCGAAAAAGTTAAAAAAAAGAAACGTTATTCACGCATACAAATAATATATGTATAATTAATAATTACTTCGATCTGAATAACTTTTTATTTATTGTTTAATACAATTAGTTCAAAGTATTAGATTTTTTGTCAGCTTTTTGATACTCAAGCTCAATATGGATGTAGTTTCCACAGACTTCAGTGCTGCATTTCAAGCACAAACTTTATGCCACAACCAACTCAAATAAAAACCAAACGCTTTTATCACAACAAAAAATAAAAACAGATTGATACATGTACGAGTGGTATAGGATAGAGTTAAGTGGGCGCGGCGCTACACGTTTGTGTATAAATCTAAATTGAGTTTGTTTCAACTTACCTAGGCAAAATGTATACGGTACGCCAAGTTTAAGTCGTTTGAACAAAGCGAAATGTTATGACACAGAAGCGTGCTGACATGCTAGAAAAAATGCTTTGGCTGCGTTGTTCCAATGTGATTATGACTCATTTGTCGGTCAAATGTCTATAACTGCAATCCTTATCCTCGCATTGACCCATCAACTCATATGGACATATAATATCGTTTGGATTCCATTTCCTGAAATGGAAAAACGGGTGATTATCAAGAAAATTTTAAACATTTCTTATATATGAACGTACTTTGTAAAAATATTTATACAAGTTAATTTTATAAGCATTTCATAAATGTAGGCATCTTCAAAACCTTATACAGGAAATAAGCTCAAAAAGTTTGCGAAATAAAGTGGAAGGTGCGAGAAATTACATTTTCTTTTCGATAAAAAAAAAGTTTGCCTAAGTCTTCAATATAGTCTGAAATAGCCGACTAAACTTCCCCATCATCGGTAACTAATTTTCTAACTTCTTTTAAAGGTACTAGTTTTTAACCATCTGCATGGGAATTCCATCCCGGCCTAACAACTTAGATATAATGCGTTGTTGACAGCGGCCTGTGTCTCTCTTATAATGATCGGCTGATAATTTTTGGAATTTTCGCTTGCTTGATGAGGAACTTTATTGTAGCATAAAACTCAAAGTCAAACTGTTCACTCGATATTTTGTTTATCTGGCGGTGTCTTAACCATTAAAGAAGCGATTCGATTGAAAGACATGCATTATTTTGAGGTATCAGTCGCCGAAGAGTGCTAGGTAAACATAAAAATGTACACCTTCCTTCTCCATTTTGCCCACTTTTTGACCTACATTTTTAGCTAACTTTTAATACGCACCCACTTTCGTTTCTTAAATGCTCTAGTGGAGAAACATAATCGCGCACTGAACGGGCTGTCGACACTACTTGGTCGCCTGCTGCTTTCACATTGTCTACTTGTTCAGGCTTGTTGTCCTCTATGCGCACCACCTAAATATACTCAATAATTTTTGTTAATGTAAAATTAAGTGTAGTTAAAAATGTACAAATACATGGACGGAGTATGTTAAAATAGTACTGAATTGTAAAAGTTCTTCAAGACTTAAGGCACGCACTTCTTTGCCGCTATCACACATCGGCGCCGGCAACTCCTCAACACACGCTTCCACACACGCTGTCGGCGGCACCTTCTCATTGGCTTTATCACAATTTTTGTTTAAATCCTGAGCATTCACTTGGCCATCTACGATCTGATCACACATAATTGGCGTAGTATTTTGGGTATGTGTGCAGTTGTCACTTTCTGGCTCACAAGCTTCTCTTCTTGGCGAGGCGATCACAGCTTCTTCAATGTTTTCAGACTCTTTAGCAACGTTAGTGCTTGGCGCCTTATGCTCATTATTAGCCGCATGCGACTGTTGACTATTAGACGTAGGCGCTTCGTTTGTATCTTTATCGCTACTGTTGACTGGCAAAGCGGTGGCTTCCTTTTCTAATACATCTAGATCACAATATCTTATTGAATTAACAAGTTTTATATGTGTTGCCAATCCTTTTGTTTTACGCGTTATTTCATTTTTTGAATCATTATTTAATCTAAGAAGAATAGAAACATAGAAATATTAATGTCAATTATAAAGAAATGTAAATGACTAGTAAACTTAAGAAAATAACAAACAAATTGGGAATACAGCACATGCAAAATATATCCTTTTTTGGTAGTATTTTACACACAAATATGTATCTATGGCAGCGTAGTAATGATTAAAGAAATCATACATCATCCCAACTGGGAAATACCTATAGTCATCGCCCTTAACGCTCTTGCCCAACTTCACAGCCATATCGAGAACTCTTGCGCGTTTTTGCTTAAGCTTCGTAATCATTTCATTGTTGGCGCATATCTCCGGGTGTATACGCGATATTTTTACTTGTTCTTCTTTCATTTTTCTCTGTGTTTGCTCCATTTCGAGCCGCAGCTCTTTCAGTCGCTGCTCATGGCGCATCTTAGCAATTTTTGCCGCCTTTGCTTCGTTGACCAAATGGAGCGATTTATCCAGTCTGGTAAGAATATTATTGCTGCAAGTGGATAAAATAAAAAATGAAGCAAAAAATATAAAATTAATCTTAGAAATTATACGCAAAGCTCGTTACCTAACGCTGGTCAAAATTTTTTCGCAGGAATATAGTCTTTCGGTCAACACCCGCTCGTTTTTGGGAGCTGCTTGAGTAGTCTTCCCAGGCGTGCCGGCTGTTTCAAGACTATTTGCTGTTGGTGATTTCTTGGAATGTTGATGTTCGCAATCAGGCTCTTGCTGCTGCTGCTGCTGCTGTGTGCCACTTTCAACTGTTGATGTCAGCATTTCATTCGCCACGGTCGACGCATCGGTAGACGTTTGTGTGGCTGTGCTAGCAGTAAGACCGGCAAGCCCTTGCGCTTGATTTGGCTTCTGCATGCGTTTTGCCGTATTCTGCTTACTTTTCGTGCACTTCTCCACATCCTCAAGTAGACTCTTTTGCATTTTCTTCAAATGCTTTTGTTTCTCCAAAATCTTCATGCGATTCACGAGGCGTTTGTATTCCTCCTGAGAGGCGATCGGTAGACTGCGTACGGCCTAGATAGCGAACCAGAAAAAATATATAAAAAATAGAGATACAATTTCAGTAAAACCTATTAGCCAACACGCAACGCATACGCACCGTTGGTGTGCCTTTGGTCGTCTGTGCACTGGCCGCACTTAACTTACGAAGCCGCGGTTGTTCAGCGCTCGGGGTGCCACTCTTTTGCGTCGCTTGAGAACGCATATTTTTTAGAAAATTTTCCAACTTCTTTTCGAACGACTCCCCAACGTTGTTTTCTTTAGCTGCTGATGCATTTGACATGCCATCGTTGGCCAGGGAGCGTGTCTCAGCTGCCTGCTCTGTAGACAAATTCTGCTTTGTAATTGCTTCCTTGCCACCGTAAACGTTTTCATTGAGGACGCCAGTCAGCGAGTCTGGTGTGGCCGTGCGCACACACGCCAAACCTATGCAACGTTCCAATGTGTGATTGCGTAAAATCTCCTCATCCTCCGATGAGGAATCAGAATGGCCAACGCGTATGATTAGCTTCTTCACCTTAATATTTGGCAGAGTTGTCGATGTTAGAATGCGTGATTGGTTGGTGGCAGCGTCGACTTTCTTTTTTAGTGTGCCGACGGATTCTTCACTTGTTTCCAAACTTTTGTTGATCACTTTGTTTGGCTTGACAATTTTAAGCTGTTGCGCCGCTGGTTTCAGCACTTTCGCCGTTGCTGCCGGTGGTGTGCTGATTCTGGTAGGCACAGTTTTGGACGCTGGCTGTTTTGCTGGCGCCGCGGTAGGTGCTTTCCCTGCAGCTGCTGCTTGCGTCGCCGTCGCTGTTAAGGCACCGGCTTTACGCCTGTCTGGAATTTTGGTGATTTTTGCAGCAGCCTTGGTAAGCAGCTTTGCTTTGACGGCAGCATTTGTGGCGCTTTCATTTACACTTGCTGTCGCTGACGAAACTTCTTTGTTTTCCTTCTCACCACTAGCATTGGCATCATTTTCCCTTGTAACGTTATTTGGTGGAGCGCGCTCCTTCAAATGCAAGCTTGTCGCATCAGTCGGCCCCGTTTGCTCAGTTGTTGTTTTGGCCTTCTTAGCTTGCGATTCATAGCTGGGATGTGTTTTATTTTTCTCCAATGCTTCGCTATTAATATCTTCGGCCGAGTGCTGACTGTAGTTCTCCACACTTTGCTTCAGTTCAATAGTGCGTAGCGTACGCCCCATAGGTGCCTCCTTTTCCAAACGTCGTTTCGTCGCCAGCAATATTGCAGCACTCTCGCTCGAGTTCGTGTGCATGTCTAATATTTCTGGCGTGTTTCTGCGCAAAGTGCTGCCGAAGCTGCTTCTGCTCTCTTCCTGCAGCATATGGTCGAAATTTATGCCATTGACTTGACCTGCATGCATCGCAAACGCTGATTTATGGTAACCAGCACAGTCTGCTGGTTGCGCATCTACGACCTGTTCTTCTTCATATTCCTTGCAACGCGCAAACGCTCTTATTTTCAAACGTGGCGCATGGGCCTGAGGTTGTGTTTCACTATGCGTCTGCTCATCCTCACAATGAACAACTGATTTTACTTTCAAGCGCCGTACGGCTTCCTTTAAAATTGACTCGGTTGGCTTAGATTTAACGCTAGTCTCATTGTGTTCGCCCGGTAGAGTCGAAGGCTGCTGTGGATGTGGCTTAATGATGCTCTCCATTTCTTTGGCATGCGCTGTTGCAATTTGTGGTGGCGTGTCGGCAGTTGGTGAAGGCTTTCTGACACGCAGCTGGCCGTTCGATTTTGCTGTTTTTGCAGCTTGTCGTTGGGATAGCAACAATGCGCGTAAAGCTTCCGCCTCCTCTTCATCACTACACTCCTCCGGTTGATCTTGTGTATCTTCGGGTATTATATCCATGCTGGCCGATTTCGGTGAGGCGCTCATTCTACGTTGTCCATTTAACACTTCATTTTTAATACAATTTTCCAGCGCGTCACCGGCAACTGCTGTCTGAACTACCTCGGACATTGGGAACTGCGGCATCGTTGGCATCGGTATCATCGTCGGTGGCATATCGATTTGTGTGCCGAAATGCATTGGCGGCATGTACATATCGAAGGGCATGGATTTGGCGTGATTATGGTAATCGTATGGTATTGGTATGCCCATACCTTCCAAAGGCGCACTACCTGGCGGCAGCGGTATGTCGTGCGTATGCTGTGAATATATACCATCTGCGTCGACAACATTCGACGTGCTCTCCTCCCGTTCGCTATCGCTGCATGCAATATCCATATCGACAGGTTTATTATCAACCTGATGCTCTATTGTCTCCAGGCTTATGTTGCTATTTTGTTCATCGTCGCAGTGTATAGGACTGAGTATTAAATTTGGCGAGCTAGCCGGACTTATTTCCATATCACCCTCCAACTCTTCGATATCGGAGGCGACTGGGCTAACTGGCTCAGCCAGTAGATCATCAAAATCTGTAGGGGAATAGGCAATCTCGGCGTTGCGTTTTTTGCGTGTCGCATGTTTTTTCATTATCGCCGAACGCAGTGCAATCAAACGCAACTCCTGCTCTTCAATTGACATCGAATCGTCACTATTGAGTTCGACCACATTGTCTGCGTCATTTGAATACGGTGTGGATTCTTCAAGCGTTTGTACTTTTTCTTCAATGATTACTTCCGCATACTTATCCGGCTGTAAGCGTTCTTTTAATGAGCAAATATTATTTTTTCTTTCTGCTACACCGCGTCCCAAAGCCAATCGCAGTTCCTCACGACTCAAAGGCAGCGTTAAATTACCGTCGTTCTCATCTGCGCTCTCAATATCCATGGTAGCTATTGAATAGTTGTCTTTTTCATATTCACTATTATCGGTTGTGTCAAGAGATATTGTTTCAATGCCACGATTCTGATAGTAGGGATTTAGCAAACGTTCTCTACGATGGTGGTGACGCTTCTCCCCATGCGATTGACTTTTACAATGCTTTTGGCGCTGATGCGCGCAACGATGAGCTCGCTGTTGCAGACGCTTACATTTGCCTTTTTTATTCCTTTTGTGCTTTTTCTTCTTCGGGGAAGGAAATTCATCTGATGAAATTGAGGATACATCGGTGGGTACTTGGCCGGCGCGTTGTACAGCTTCCCAGTCGCTGTAATCGTTCAGTCTATACATGTCATCTGAATGGGGAAAGTGCAACAACATGGCAAAAGTACTGAGCAATGTAACAAACAGCTAAAAAATGCATTAAAAAGTGGGAAATGTCGAAATGTTTCATAACATACTCTTAGCCTAATTAATAGTAGGTGTAATATTTAAGCTACTCCACTAAGTCCTTAACATTTTTTTTTATAACCAATTATCAGGTTTTGTAGGTTTTTAAAAACTTTTTAGTAGGACGTATGCATTTTAAGTTGCAAAACAGTTCGATACATAACTTATAATATAATTTTTATGAATTAAAGAACCAGTTATTCTAACTACTAAAAAGGGCTTTCTGAAGTTCGTCATACAAAACCTTTTCTGGAAGCTCTTCAAAAAAGAAACGAGAAACAAATGCGAATTGGAAGGCCTCTTGACTCTAAGGAAGGACTTTTAGAGGGGTTTTTAGCTCTTCAAATTAACTATCGGGAACGTACATACAGCAAAGCTTGTAAAGATAAACACGGTATAAGGTCTTTCAAAAAATAGCACTCTTTTTGCTTTGCCTTGTAGTTTTAAAGAAAATGTAAAAACAACCCCTTGACTGTGTCGCCACTAATGTAAAGTGAAGAGCAATAGTTACCTGAACTAATGAAGTAACTGTATTACGTAGCAGTAAAGCAACTCATGATCTAATAATAAAATTATGTCAGAAATTAGCATCTTACCATTTCGTTCATGAAAACATATCATAATCGACTCAGGCTTATATTTCATATGATAAGCGTGCGCTATCGCTTAATAACCTTGTATGTACTTAACCCAAATCGACCTCGTATTGCCATATGGCAACGCAAAACACATCATGTATGGAAGGGTGTAAAACAAAAACCACTTACTTAAAAATGCTTAAATTAAAATAAGTGGCAGAAAATCATCGAAATGTTTTATATGAAAAAAGTAAGCATAAATTTATAGCAAGTGTTTTTTATTTACAAAATGTGACAGTGATAAAAAATTAGCTAATACATTAGTCGACTCTATTGGTAACAAAAAACAATAAAAACCAATCGTGCATGTTAGATAATTTCAGTGTTTTTTAGCCCGTTTCCATATGACAAAAAGGGGCGTCATGAGAACTGTCCCTCATTTTATCTACTATCAAAATAGATCATGTAAGTATTGGAGGGCGTAAAACAAAAACCGTTTACTTAGAAATGTTTATGTATATGTACGTTAACTAATT